CCTTCGTCCAAACGTGTTCCTCAGGGGACTAGTTCAAAATCGCCAACCCCTTCTTCGGAATCAGTCAACACTAAAGATAGCTGGCCGACAACTGCTTCACACCCTCACTCGCGTACCCCATCTGTAACCAAATCGATCAGCTCCGCAACGAATGTAACCAAGTCTTCTCGCAGTCCTAGTCCACAGACCAAAATCAATATTCCTCCAATCATCATCGACTCAAGAGACTGGCGTAAATCTGCCAAAACTATATTAGAAGTAACCGAACTCAACACAAATGATTTCACAGCCAAAATCGACTCAAAAGGCTCCGTCCGCCTACAGATGAAATGCCCTACTAACTTCAGAAAAATCCAATCCGCGCTAAGAACCAATGGAATTGCGTTTACCTCTTTTTCTCTCCCTGAAGATCGCACCCTAAAAGTGGTGATTAGAGGAATACCTACCGACATAGCTGAAGACGAAATCACCGCTGAACTTGAACTCCGAGGGTTCACGGTTAATACGGTAAAACGATTCGGTGCAAACTCCCGTCCACTCCCTATGTGTTTAGTCATCCTGGCGAAAACTACGCAATCCACGACTATATACGAAATTACATCAATGTTTTATCTCTCAGTTAGAGTAGAGTCATTTAAGAAATCGGGTCCAGCGCAATGCTTTCTTTGCCAACGTTTTGGCCATGGCTCAAAAAACTGCGGCCAAGCGCCACGCTGTGTCAAATGCAGCGGTAATCATTTGGCCAAAGAATGTACCAAACCTAAACAAGATCCGCCATCCTGTTGCAACTGTGGAGGTAGTCACACGGCCAACTTCCGCGGTTGCCCATACTACCTTCATCTGGCGGCGTCATCGAAACCTGCTGTAACTATACCACCTCCGCCTACTCAATCCACTTCAGCCTCTTTCGCTCAACCGAAATCTGACACTAGTTACGCTGATGCCGTTAAATCAGACAAAAACCCAATTTCCAACGAAACAAAAACCAATCAAATCAATATCGATGAAATAATTACTCTGCTGACTGATCTACTCACCGCCCTTACATCGGATAGCGACCCCAAATCTATCATGGTCTCAACAATCAAGTCATTCCTCTCCCTACTCACTAGTCGTAATGGATAATGATCTAAAAATTATTCATTGGAACTGTAACGGCATATCAAACAAAATCCTAGAACTTCAATCGCTAATTCAAAAAATCAGGGTCGACATTATTTTACTTGGAGAAACCAAACTAAACCCAAATACCAATATCAAATTTAACAACTTCCACATCTATAGATCGGATAACGAAGCGCGCCCCGGTAATCCTTCTTACGGGGGAACTGCCGTTCTCGTTCACAAACGCATAATTCACCGCCAAACTATTTTAAAAACATCAATGAAATCTACGTCAATTGACATATCTATAAACCAACACATCATTCGAATATCTTCAGTCTACAAACGTCCTGGCGTTCCATTCGTCGACAACGACCTTCGTGTGTTGTTAAACGGCTGCGATTGGTTCATAGTTGCGGGCGACTTAAACGCGAAACACCCGCTTTGGCACAGCCGCTGCATAAACACAGCCGGTCTAGCACTTTACAACTACATCCAAAACATGGACCTTACAGTCGTAGCTCCCGACTCGCCTACTTTCTTCTCGTCAATACCAAATCACCGCCCGGACGTACTCGACATCGCCCTGGTCAAAATTCCACACCTATCAATAACATCTACATCATTAAATGAATTATCATCTGACCACAATCCAGTTCTTCTGCAAATCAATGACTCTCCAATAACTTCTTCACCTCCAACCCCCGTAAACAGAATAAACTGGAAAAAGTTTAGTGACACTCTAGAAACTATCTCCAGGGGTATACTACCACCAATCAAAACTCGTGATGACATCAACCTTGCAGTAGCCACCCTCACGTCAAATGCTCAAGAAGCACTAGAAAACTCAAAATATGCAATCAACAATAAATTATTTTATCGCGACCGTTTGCCACCTGAAATCATCAATGAAATAAATGCGAAAAATCGTCTACGGCGCGAATGGCAAAGGTACCGCGACCCGGCCACAAAACAACAACTTAACCATAAAACTGCCTTCATAAAGCTAATGCTTGCCACTCATAAGCAGGACGAGTGGGATAAATTTCTCTTCTCGTTGGACACATCTGATGGGTCCATCTATAAACTAAACAAAAACCTTCTTAATAAGCGTCCAGCAACTCACCCGCTTATGGGACCAAACGGCCTAACTTACTCGGCTATTGATCGCGCAGAACTATTTGCTGATACGTACCAGCAACAGTTCACGCCAAATCGTGGCCCAGTCCTCCCAGAAGTAATTAGCAGCCTAACATCTATCAATGATGCACAAGTCAGTAGTAATGACTATACAACCCCTGGGTTCATCAAAGACATCATAAACCATCTACCCAAACGGAAAGCCCCGGGTGAAGATCAAATCACGAACAACGCTCTTAAAAACGCACCGAATAATTTTATTCTTAGGCTAACGCATATTTACAACGGTTGTATTCGTCTTTGCTTCTTCCCAGACGACTGGAAAAAAGGTCAAATCATAACCATACCTAAACCGGGAAAAGACCACGCTGACCCCGTCAGCTATCGTCCTATCACGCTCCTACCTACTATCGCCAAAATTTTCGAAATAATCATTCTCAGAAAACTGAAGTGCAAAACCGAACACCTGATCAAGGATGAACAGTTTGCTTTCCGTCGCCAACACTCTACCGTTCTTCAACTGATCAAGCTCACGGACCAGCTCTGCAAGAATCGTAATGACAAAAAATATACTCCGGCTATCTTTCTCGACGTGGAAAAGGCCTTCGATAAGGTCTGGCACGAAGGTTTACTCCACAAGTTAATCACAATCGGTACTCCAATTCACATAGTTAAACTTATCAAATCGTTTTTATACGGCAGATATTTCAACGTTCGAGTCGAAAATTCCGTCTCCAGTAACCGTCCAATCAGAGCAGGTGTGCCACAAGGGTCCTGCCTGTCACCGTACGCATATAAGCATTCTGGGGTCTGTTTCGGCACCTGTGTTCAAATACGCATTCTCATTAGTCGATTTTAAATTCCCGCCAAATTATTACAGACTATAATATGATAATATGATAATCATTACAAATTACAATAGACAGTGCAATTAATAGTATATACCACCTATTGATTATTACTTTTAATGAATTATATAGTGTTTTATGGTGTATTACTCCATTGGGAAGAATCCATTGTAGAATAATATTAAAACTTTAGCTTAACGTCAAATGGTTTAATATTTAAATATCGATATACCTTAATTATTGGTGATAAAAATTCCTAAATATTTCCAAATATCAACCTGAGCAAGACATTTTCTAGATTTTTTTATTTTTTTAAGATTCAGACTATAATATGATAAGACAAATTATAATATATTACCAGCTATAAGAAAGTTGAGGGTACAATAATAAACATTAAAATTCAAAGCTGGACACTAACTTTTTAGAATGCTACTTTTTAGTTAACTATTTAACTTAACTAGTTAGTTTAAATTCATATTAACTTTGTAACTTAACTAGTTGAATTTAATGTGTAAAATAATCTAATCTAACTCGTTAAAAATAATAACTAGTTATTAAATAGTAACTAGTTTTTTTCTTCATTTATTGAACTTTTCAATTTCTTATATTGTTAAACTTTCTACATTATAATGTCTGGCATTCCAAGGAATTAAGGTTATTACCTACTTGTTTGAAACATTTGATCAAACTATCAGTTGCCAGTTGTTCAATTTAATTTTTAATTTATCACCAATAATTCAAGTTAGTTACTTACCTACCTACTTAATACCTAATTAATTTATGTAATAGGTACCTACATTACATTTGAAAAAAACAGTTTTTTAAATTTAAATTTTAACCTAAAAAAACTTACTTGTACTCTAACTTAAGTTAATATTTACTCCAAACTAACTTCTAACTAAGGGCCAGTTGGACAGTCTGTGATTAAAGTTAATCACAGTTTAATCGGTCGAATTTGGTAAATTTCAGAAACTAACTTATTTTCTAACTTTGTTACTTTTTATACTAAAGTAGGTAACTTAACTATAACTAGTTAACAAAAGTGACTAACTTGTCCAGCTTTGTTAAAATTATTTGAATGTAAATATAATAGCATTGATAATAAAATAAAATACTATCAATGATAATAGGTATAAGGAAATATACATACCTATAGAAATGTATGCATGATAAAATATATTTAGGTACCTACATCCTATTTTTACATTCATAAAATGCCTTCCTAAGTTCAGAGTATAAGTGTACTGTGTACTAAATTTTTACTTACAACGCATAATAAGTAGGTATTTAATTGCATGCCTATAGGTACATTGTACCTATACTTGTCTTACCTAAAATAATAATACTTTAATTATTTGATCATAATTCATAAGTCATAACTAATATTATTGTAATTAATTTTTTAGGTAATACAAATGTACTTGTATATTCTATTTTATTGATTTATTCTATAAGGTAAGATCTGAATAGTGATATTATTCTCATTTTATGTTACTTCATAACTCCTAGTGGTATGGTAGTTAATTAGATACCTACCTACCAATTACATGTACCTATGATAATTGTATGGGCTATAATTTATAGGCAACTTTTAAATTAAATGATACTTGAATAAATTATTTTTTACTAAACAGGTAGGTAACAACTAATATTGTATTATATTTTTTATCATTTAGATTCTATGATTTTTTTTTTTTTATCTATTTTATGAGTAGGTAATTGTAAAAATACATAATTTGAAAAAAACACATTTTTTGCTGCTGGACCCATAGATCAACTAATAATTAGTTAGTTATAATAACAAAATGAATTACAATAAATAAAATAAATAATAAAACTGTTTATATCAATTTTTAATAATAGTCAATAACATAGGTATACTAATATTTTAATAATTACAATTAAAACTTAATGACCTATTCCATGTGATTTAGCATTTGAAATATTTTTCTCTGCATTTTCTGCTAAATTTCTTCTTCTTTTTTTTTTTTGAGGATCGTTATTTTTTGGGCTTCCCACAGGCAGTCTTTTACTACTACTTGTAACTCCAGATCTCCTTCGTGCCAAAGTTGTTGGCTGAACATGAATTGTTGCACGATATCGATGTCGCAGAGGTATTTTACTTCCAGCAGTACTTAAAAATGATTCCCACATTGCAACAGATTTAACTTTTTGTAATCTATCCAAACATTTGTTGAGTACTGAAGTTGAAACTGTATCATTATATTTTGCTAATTTTTTTGTGAATAAATTTTGAATTTATAAATAATCATGAGCAGAGTTATTTTCATGATCATTTAAGTCTACCCCTTCTTTCAATGCTGTATTATTATTTATGATGTTTGATTCTGCAGTAAGTGGTATGTAAAATGATTTTTCGCGCACATGTTCACAGAAGGCTAATTTTGCTAACAAATAACGTGATTCTGTATTAATAGCTGGTAAACTTGGCACATTCATTTCATGGTGATGACAAATAGCAGCTTGGTGTTTGCAAAATGCTCCTAGTTTTCCTTTAGGGCAAGGGAAAAATCCATTTGTTACATCAACTTCGTAAAAAGTATTTTCTGTTTCAGACTGCACTCTATATATATTTTCAGATAACTTTTTTATAGAGTCTTTTTTAATACTTACTGCTCGTTTAAGCTGATCTTCAAATACATGTCGAGCTGTATCATTTCTCCCATTGACAAAAGTCCGTAAACGTCTTAGATAATATTCTTCTAATGAAGTACAAATAAAATCTACTAATGCAACTGCATTATATGCTTTGTTCCTAGAGAGAACTATGTCCTTAAAGATACGAACATTCACTTCTGAAAAATTATTAGTTTGGTGCCCATGAACAGAAGCATCCCGAAATACTAAACACCATAACTCTTTTCTTTTCCAATAATTATTAACATATTTAATCAATTTTTCATATTTTAAAGGTATTACAGTATTATTAATACAATTGTATTCAGTAGAAATTTGACCGATTGCAGTCATTTAAGCTTCTTCAGCACTATGCAAGTTTGTAGCTACTAAAATTCTATGAAATAGTCTGAACAAAATCTTTCTATCACCTTTAAGCACATCATGATTCGTATCCCACAACCATCTCCAGACAGATTTTAGTATGTGAAATCTGCATAAATTAATTTTAGATTCAGGCCAAATTGATTGGAGTGCTTGCTTTTCTGCTTCACTATCATCAATAACAAATTGTTTGGGAAACCCTTGGGCATTAAAACCATTAGGCATTGACTGCTTTAAAAGCGTGAAAGCTGCTTTATAGTCAACTGTCGACTGTCCTTTTGTTATGAATATACCTAACGGAACTGCTCTAACACCACATGGTGCTAACATGAATGTTACCGAATGACTTTGAATGTCACAGGATGAAGTACTGTCTACAAAAGCGATATCTTTGGCAAATGGTAGTTGGTGAGCTCTTTTCATTATAGAGGTGATGACTAAAATGGCAAATGGATTTTCAGAGTACCTAACAATAATTCCGTTTTCTTCATAATACTTTTTCTTCTCTTCAAGTTTCTAAAACAAAAATTACTTATTTTAAAATCTAAAAACTTCAGAAACGTAGGTATTCAAAACTTTTAAAATATAAAAAAAAACTATTACCCATTTAAACTGTAAAAGATGATTGCTGGATCATTTATTTATTGAATAGATTTATTACACAAATATGCAGTCAAGTTTTAAATTAAATAAATGTTTATATTTCATATAGGTAAAAACAAAACTACACCTATATATATATATATATTATAATTTATTTTGTTTGTTACAGTGTGTTAATTTATTATCTTCTTATATTTCAAAACATTCTAATTTTTCAAAATAGGTTCTATGTTTTATTTATTTTTCTAGGTAGGTACTCACCTATGATAAAATATTTATTTATCTATTTAATGAACTATCAAATTAATACCTACCTAAGTGTCTATAATAATTTTTGGTATCAAAAACATATTATAGATTATTATTTAGATATTATATTTGATAGGTAAATACTTAATTATCATAGACTTATAATAGATAGGTATATATAATCTATTATAAGTCCATGCCTAATGATAGACCATGAAATTATGTTCTTTTTTTTTATAATTATATTTTTTTATAAAAATAAAAAAATAGAACTTATAAATAATAACAAAAACACTTTTTAATTTTGTGAAATTACCTGCAAAACACTTATATCATTAGAAGAGCCCAAATTGTTTTCTTTCCAAACATCATACCAATGGCGAATTGTCCTATATTTTGGATTGATAGTGGCGTTAGCCAATTCATTAGAGTTAATACCATATTCTAATTCAAGTTTTGATTCATGCATTTTAATAGATTCTGATATACCTGAATAAAATTAATGTGTGTAAATAAACTCTAATTCAAAATATGGAAATTAATAATTCAATAATTATCTTACCTAAACCATCATTAAAATAGTTTTCAAACTGTGGTCTACATTCTTCAGAAGGCTTTAAAAAGGATAGTGCTTCTGCAGATCTAATATTGTGATTGTGATCATTATTTATCTTTATTATAGCAGGCAATCCATCCTAAAATAACAATACTTAAATACTATTGCCTATTGATACCTACTAAATAAAAATCAACTATAATATTAAATTTAGTACCTATGGCGCTTAATTGTTAATATTATAAATCATTATCTTACTTACTTTTACAAACTTATCTTTTTTTTTTTGTATCCTTCGTTGTCAATTTGATTTTTAAATCTATCTTAGCATTACACTGGGTGTTTTTCGATCTTCCTCTCATATTATCTGTTTTGGTTATCTTATTGAAACCACTATGGTGGCATACATAGATCTTTCTAGTAAATATTAGGAACAACTATTATTAAAAAGCTTTTTTGAAAAAAGTTTAATTTTATAATAAAATGTTACGATATGCACTAGGTATTGAACTATTATTGCAAACAATATCTATTTTCCTATTATTTAATATTAAATATTTAAATATTAAAATTAAATTTAAAAAGGTGGGAATGTGGGTATAACCTAGACGTACTCCCATTAGGTGGTGTAAAGGGGTCACATTATGTCACCCCCCTAGACAAATGTGAAATAATAGTTATTTTTTAACTCTAAATAATAAAATATTTTTACTGATGATATTATACAACATTACATAATATTATTATAACATAGGTACATCATTTATGATTTATCTATGTTGTATATCTATTTTCTGTTATTAATAAAAACAATTTTGTTGGTATACTTACTTAGTTTTTCTTTATGATATTGTTACCCCTTGTGTTCTAATTGATGGGCAGTGGGCACCCTTGGGTACCACTGTGTTGCATAGTAGATGTGTAGTAGGTTACCAAAAGTCAATAAATGTGTTAAATTTTAATTCAATGGTTTTTCATGGTAGGTACTATTTTGTACTTATTCAAAAAAACAATTCTAAGCTGAGATTTACATCAAGTATATGTCATGAAATATGTTTTGATATTGCCATTAAAGTACCCATTAAAGTTGGTTGATTTAATTTTTGCAGAAAGCATACATTAATTATTATATTATTTATATTTAGTTATTATAGATTATATTCATAGCATTTTATATTATTGTTATTAATTATATTCGGAAATACCACTTTAGTTCTACAGTAAAGTAGTATTGCCTTAAAAGTGTAAATGGGTGTATAGTATGAATACCTAGGTTATATGTTAAAATGATTCATATATTTTTAAAATGTCATTGTGTATAGTAAAATGTATAGAAGGTACCTATATGTAAAAGTTATAATTCAACATGAATATTTTTTTTTTTTTAGTTATATCAAAAAACAACACATTATTGTAAAACTAGTACATTCATTGCTCCACTCAGAATTTAAATTTATAAAAATAATTATTATAAGAAAGTATTACACTTTTCCAATACTATTTGAACCAGCTAAAATATAATATAGTATAATAACACAGATTATATAAAATATAATATTTCATAATTTCATTTAATCTGTGGTAATAACAACTGACTAGTACCTTCATATTGTTGTACTAAAAAAAAGTTCTATACACTTAATACATATTATGTACCTCCCTAATAAGTAATAATATATTTGATTTGAAGAGTTAATAATATTCTACAAAAACTAGGTATTCAACAGCAGCTGTTAATTTTTAAATTTTTATAAATATTTATTTTTGTTTTGAACATTAAAATGAAGATACCTGCATTCAGTGTTATTATAGCTACATAAATGATTAATTATATTAATTTTACATTATACATTAATTTACTATTTAGTAAATACAAAGTTAACTTACCTACACACAAATTTTGAACATTCATTAAATGCTGATTTATTATTCATACACTAACTTGTATTTGTTTCATTGCTATACTCACTAATCCATTTAAAAATGTCTTGCTCAGTGAACAAATTACAGCGATAAACATATTACTTTCACATTCGATCAATTTAAACATTTTATTAATGGAGTAATACACCATAAAACACTATATAATTAATTAAAAGTAATAATCAATAGGGGGTATATACTATTAATAATACTATTATCATATTATCATACTATAGTCTGTAATAATTTGGCGGGAATTTAAAATCGACCAATGAGAATGCGTATTTGAACACAGGTGCCGAAACAGACCCCAGAATGCTTATATGCTCACCGTACCTATACCTTATTTACACCAACGACATACCTGTTAACGTAAACAGCAGTCTCGCATTATTCGCCGACGACACCATGTTTTATACCTCAAATCGAAACCCGAAATACGCAATTGCTGCACTTCAAAAACAAATTGACCTGGCCTTAACGTGGTTCAAAAACTGGAGGCTAGGCATCAATACAAGCAAGACAGTAGCTATTCTGTTCAACAAAAACACCACGCTTAACTTGAGTAATATTACCATGGCAGGAGTACCCATCCCGTGGACTAACCATGCCAAGTACCTCGGAGTCAGTTTTGACAGATATCTAACCTTCAATAAACACGTTAAAAATACTCTTGTCAAAGCGCGTAGATGCAAAAACATGCTTAACCCCATCCTAAACAGCCGAAGCCCAGTGCCGCTCAAAACTAAAATACAAATCTACCTCATGTATATCAGACCTCTCCTAACATACGCCGCCGAGG